AACTCATAAGTTAAATATAAAAATTTATGACACATTTAAATTAATAATTTTTAACTTTTAAGAGAGCCGTTTGCATATCTACATTATACCTGTATCTTTTTGATAGTGAGTTACCGATGTTTTTTTATATATGGAAAACTCTTGTTACGAAATTACCTTGTACATAGAAAAAGTGAACAAATTCATGGAAATTCAATGCTTCGTAACGCTATTGTGTCTTTAATCGAAACAAAAATGTTGAAGTAATTATCGATAAAGCATGAACATCAATTATTTCTTTGTACTTTCCGTCGAACGTGAAATAATTTTCGCGTGAAACGAAATTATAAAAAAAATGCCTTTCCAGAGAACGATCAATCGAAAAATCGTGGAATATGAACACACTGATTGACCGCACTTTCTGTAGTAATTAATACCAGCAGAATTATTTCATTGCAAATATTCGATAGAAAAGCTACTCCGATAAAACTCAATCGAAAGTTCCAGGTCTAAGAATCACAACTGCCATACCGAGCAATTAATGTCAATATTGAATCGTCGGTACGACTACTATTCAATGTCGAGGTTTCAACAACACGGCGCTAAATCGAGCGCAAACGATTACAATCACTCTCTCCTCCTCTATCATTCCCCTGTTGGTTTCGAATTTGAGCAACGATCACGAATCCGCAGCATCAGTTCAACCGAGGAACCAACGTACAAGAATAAAATATGGAGTGGAGTACCATAAATTCTCGATGAGTGTTCGAAGGCTTTTTGGCACTGACAGGTAGAGGTCTCCAGGTGTAACTGACTTTTTAATGAGGTTTAGCACAGTCGTAGAGCTTGGAATTCCGAAGCCAATGGTATTTGTTTCAGCCGTATATGGCCATTAGTTTATGAAATATTTAATGTTCAGTGCCGAGAGGAGCCTTCGAGCACTCATCGAGCATTCACTGTATACAGACATCCTTCAGGGATATTCTCTCTTGTTCGGAGATCGTGTCACAACGTCGACATTATTCCCATCATCCTCATCCTGAACCGAATGAACGCTCCCCATCACGCTCGATTTTTATCCTCCATAAGTTTTACATTCGTTTACCTTTGGCTTCCGAAAGATCGATCGACCGTTGGGCCCGTCGGAGGATCGGCGCAAGCTATGCGGTAACTTTCACGAAAGTAAACGAGACTTGGCACTGGGACGGCACGTTTGCAACAATTATCGCTGTATAACCTCACTTATCCTTATTTAATGTCTATTTTAGAAGACGGAATGACGCGCCGAAAAAATTAACCCGTTGGTCCACGGGATCGATCTCCATCCACCCTGCTAGAGAGAACTTCAGCCATCGTGAGTCCAGAGATTCGTGAAAAGTCGCGATGGAGAGCTTTCGTCCGGTCGTAAACTCCGACCAGGGGTCTAACTGGAAGCTATAGGGTCGGCTGGATCGCGATTTGGCGTGGAACGAGAAACAAGCGGCCGTGTGGAATAAATATAGATCGGCGGTCCTGAGGCTTTCCACGGGTCCTGGGAGCTTCCGTCGAGACCCAGGGGAGCCAACGCGGGTCCACGCTTACGAGACCAGTCCCCCAAGAGAATGAGCCGGCACTCTCGTTCTGCGCTCGCGCATTTTACTGGACAATGTGTCATCATCGCGTCTACGTATAGTATATACGGTGTGCACACGTATCAGGGACCATACATACATATATATATATATATATATATATGTATATATATACACGTGTAGGACAGCAGAATGCGGACAGTGTGATTAAGAAGAGGCTCGGAGGACCTTATAGACCGTGCAACAAGACGCTACTTCGCGGCTCCTGACGATCAACCTATGGTCTGTCCAACGAGACGAGTCAATAAAAATAACTAAAACATTCATGTGCGCTAAGCCCAACTATTGGCTGACAATTGTCCCTGTCCCAACTAAATGGTTATCACCTCACTTTGTTTATACCCAGATAGCACATGACGGACCTTGAAGATACCCATTTCAAGGCTGTTTTAGGTCTAAGGCGCCTTTAAGCCGTCTTCAAACCGTCATTAGGCGTCATGTGATATCTGGATAGTTACTGACTCGACTCGTTGGATGAGGTATAAATTCAGCTATTCCGTTATGTGACGGGCGTACACCGCGGGGGAACGAAACAAATGGGAGCATTATTGCTGTGTCGCGTTGCAAAAAGGATACAGAAGGGTTCGAAGGCACCGGCAAACGCTTCCCGGATGAAGGACCACGGATGCAGTCCTATCCGTTCGATGCACAACGTCGGACATGTCGCGATCCGCCTCTCGCGAGGAAGTCGATCGCGTCCGGTTTCTGCGGCTGTGGAATAGCTGACGAGATATGGTTCTCCTTCAGGGATTATCCTTTAGTTCAGAACAGTTTTTGGTGGACTTCTCGGTACAGTTTATGGGAGAAATTGTTGGACGTTGTTTTCGTAAGATATTCTTAGATTGAACTGCTGTGGCTTTGTGGAAATGGTAGAAGTAGCATTTTTTGTACGAGATTATGAACTGTGATAAAAAATTGTAAAGTTGAGTTAGACCTGGGTTAGGTATTCTTAGGTTAATTTCTAAAATTTTTCAAGTTGGGCCTTTAATTTTTTTAATTTGTGAACTCTGGTCATGAAGCTTGCATCGGCTTTGTATGGTTCTGTTGGCGATTATGAGGATTTGGTAATTGTAAGTTATGTTTTTCTCAAGTTCAATTTCCTATGTAGACGGATTGTTTGGCTTTAAAAGAATTTGTGCGATTCAAGATTTCGTAGTTAATAGTATGTTGATCCGTGCATGGATCGTCATGTAGTTAGCATTCAAAATCTCAACTGATAAAATGGCAGAATGATTTGTACTATTTGTTCGGACCGTATTTGACTCGATTACATCAGTTTTCTATGTTTATAGCTTCGTGGACTTTTACTGTAGATGCTAATTTAAGGTATTATGTACATGATTCTCAAGCTTTTATTGTGTTTGTACAGTAGAAAGTCTTGGAACCATACTAATAATGAATAATTAATTAATAAAACGATGAAATTATTTTCTAAAAGTATAATATTTGCAACCGAAAGTGTTTAATGGTTCCAAGTGTAAAGATCTACATCACAGTGATCCCCTTATTAGTTACTTTTGTACTTTACAGACTGTAATTTTATGATAAATCAAAGCATTCCTAATACAAATGGATTCAAGTATTTAGCTAAATGATGTGCCTACATTCATGTATTCTATTTTCTCGTTTTTCGATCTACCCTCACATTTTATCGCTTATTTACCTGAAATTTTATCAGTTGAGGGTTCATTTCACCAATACAGCTATCGTTGCAAGAGTAAATGTAACATAGACATAAAAACCAATATCCAGTAATCGATCGTTCATTAAAGCTTATTAGAGAACGATGCTGCTACAATGTGAATAAAATTAAAAGTCTCTTCGATAAAATGATACTTCGATAATGTTCTGTTTCACCTAAGAATAACTTACTATATTGGAACTATATAAGATGCATATCATAATTGCTCATACCTTCAAAAGACACGATTCAACGTCCATCAAACAGCCACTAAAAATTCCTTTACCCAATGAGAAAATGATCTCTCGTCTACATAAGTCAATATAAATGATAGCCACGTAATACCAACATCAAAATCCATACTAATCTATTAAAACGTGACGTTTCCCTAAAAAATTTATCACAAGAACTTCGTGTTCGTTCGCCAGACTTCCTCGCGTGTAGGCAACAGCCGCGACGCGCACGAGACTGCATGGCATATACAGAAAAATTATCGTTATTGCGCGCAGTATACAGCTCGCGTCGATTGCGCTCTGTTTAACTAGCATGTTACGAACATGTCGGTCTTCGATTCCACGCGAAGACGAAGAGGACAACGAAAAAAAAATGAACCGTTGCGGTCGACTCCCGTCTTGCCGCGTCGTCGTTGCGTTCTTTGGTTTCGAATCGTTATCACAAGTTAGTTACACTAACGTTATGTAGAAACCTATGCTCCTCGACCTCTGGATTCTTCATCTTCATCCTTTATCCTTTTCTTTCCACTAGAACGTATGTGTTCGTAGTAACGCAAGATCCTCGCGTTTTCGATGCCGGCCACGTGTGTTTCCTGCCATCGCCGCCGACGGCTACTTCGTTTTCCTTCTATCTCCGTAATTGACTCGTCTCGCTGGGCCAACGGCTGGATGGATAGCGCGGTTTTCAGACTCCCTCTATCGCGGCTCGGAACACTCGTTCACCAGCCCCGCTTCGCGTGTTCACGTGGAACTGTTTCGACGGGGGATGATCAGAACGCGTGGCAATTTTCCAAGTTCAACGAACTTCAGGGTGTTGTCTCGAATACGCCGAGTACCATTTTGGAAAATTTCATCGAATTATCGTTCGAAGACACTCGAGGATTTTCGGTTCCGTTGTAACTTTGATCCTCGAAAATATTTCGATTGTTCAATCGAAATCGGTACTTTGTGAACAAGCTGGGCGTCTTCGAGAACCATCCCTTCGTTCTTGGCCGTTCTTGTTCGTTGTGTCCCTGTAAGTTCATCAGCGATGTTTCCGTATTTAATCGCCAGCAATAATACCAAGCACGCTTGAAAATTCATAACCTGTAAGCGCGCGAAACCATGCATCGCGAATTGTAACTGTTCCAATACTACGGAATCTTTCAAAGAAACTGGGGGAACCCCTTCGAAGCAAATTTCGCGTCGATGCACCATCAATATTCTACAATCTCCTTGTTCGAACTGGAATGAGAATAAAAAATCTAATCGAGCCGTGGCGTTCATCAGTTCGCGTACGCTGCTCGAAGGAGTTCACGCAAGCAACAACACAGCTCCTCATCCTAATTAACAATACAGATCGGCCCGGTATCTCCGGGCGGTCGCAACTGAAATAACTGCCTAAATAATCCTCGACACACGGAAACCCACGATCGCTGATTAGTCGACGCATCAAGAATTACCAAGAACGTCTTGGAACCGAGCCCCGAACCGCTTTCAGCGCTGGTGTATATGGGTGGTCAGGTGTTTGGACAGGTAATCCGCCCGGGCGAAACATTTTCCGCACATCTCGCAGTGGTACGGCCTCTCGCCGGTGTGTATACGGAGGTGCCTGGTGAGATCGCTCTTGCCGCCGAACGCGCGACCGCAGAACAAGCAAACAAACGGTCGTTCGCCGGTGTGCTTGCGCACGTGGAGCTTCAGATTCTCCTTGGATCTGACGCACTTACCGCAGAACGGACAGGCGAATCGTCGTTCGCGTCTGTCGACCTCGTGGCTGCTACGCGCCAAGCTGATTACAGCCTCGGTTGGCTCGGACCTGTCGTCGTCCACCGCGTTGTCATCGACGTCACCAACTTCGCTGACGCTACCTACGCCTGCCGAGCTTCTTTCGTTGGGGACAGGCGCCTCTGTCATTTGGACCTCGACAGATTCACCGGGGTTTTCATGGACGCTCGCTGTCTCCGACACGCTCTCCTCTCGTGCGTTCTCCACGAACGGGCCCCTGGTCTCTTCCTCACCTGGGTTGGTGGTCGTGTCGCTACCAGTCTCCACCTGAGAGGGCTCCCCCGTGCTGGACACCTGATCGCTCCGTTCAGCCGCCGCGGACACAACGATACCGGTGCTGCTCTGTGGCTCCGGCGCCCGTTGCAATCGTTCCAGCGCGTGGTTCAGCCGATGTTTCTTGAACGACTTCAGATACCTGAACTGCATGCCGCAGACGTCGCAGGTGAACAGCTTGTCGGCCGGCAGACGGGCACGGTGGTTCTGTTCCCGATGTTTCACGTACGCAGAACGGTAGCGGTAACGCTGGCCGCATTGCTCGCAGGTGAACGGCTTGTCGTCGCTCGCCTGGCCGGCGTGCTGCAGCAACGCGTGCCGTTCCAGCAGCCAGGCGGAAGGAAACGTCGCCAGACATACGCCACAGCGACGCGCCAATCCCGCCAGGCCGGCGAAACCGCCGTGACCTAACAGGGAACCGCTTCCGCCGCTGCCGCCCGACCGCTCCACCAGCGCGCCCCAACCGCCCGCCTCCAGACCGAGCGCCAGCGACACCTGAAATGATCGTGGCTTCGTCAGATGGAATTCGAACAGGATCTTGGATTGTAGGTAGCGGGCTTTTTGCTCGATTGTCTTTTTTTCTTAAGGAGGTATGTAGAGGAAGATTGCCGAATTTGAACCATCGCCTAGGTTGGATCACTACTTTAACTTGCCATGTGTAAGCAACTTGCGTTATTATACTAGGTTTGTTAATGCAATCATCACTATCGTATACGTACTGGATATCGTATTGCTTCCACATGAGAAATTATAGTAGTGGTCTAATCTAGGCGATGGTCCAAATTCGAAAACCCTCCCCTACACCTCGAACGGCTGAAAAAGTCGATTTTTGCGAATTGTTTAAGGAGAAGCTAATACAGTTTTTTGTCCCTTGTTTTCTCTATTGTAATGACAATATATTGAGCAATTTTTATAAATATGTGTATAAGAAAACAACGAAAAATGTCCGTGTTACAGCCTGGTCTACAAGACCCATTTTTTGGTAATACGGTTTGCGGTGCCAATCGGCATTTTGACAGAGTTCGTCTGTAACATAATTGGTGATCATTTCCTTTAAATAATACGAGTCAATCTGGTCCTTAACATATGATTTTTTTTATCTGAAACGTAGTTTCTTATTAAAACTAAGAATCGAGAAATTTGTTTATGACAAGTCAGTACTTCAACTTTAAACAGCCACCATTTTGTTAGAAATCAATGTATCAAAAAACGGTTATGTTATGGACCAGATTTTCTCAGATAAAGAAAGGGATGTTGTGCACACGGCTGTAACACGGAAATTCTTCGTTATTTTCTTATATATATATATATTATTTGTAAAAATTGTTCCATATATTATCATTACAATACAAAAAACAAGACATAAAAAATGTATTAGATTCGCCTTCAAAAATTCATAAAAATAGTCCTTTTTTAAGCTGTCGTAGGTGTATATGTATTAGTGTACTGTGGTTGTAGTTTTTTTGTGTATGGTGTTGGGGATGATTTTTTAGTGAAATGAATCGTTTCTTTTGGGTTCGATTTGTGGAAATATCTTTGCTGATAGAACTGTGGGATTTTGTCTGAATGTAAAATAATCTGTTTGAAATTGAATTGTCTTGAATTGTGCTAATTATCTTTAAGTAAATAGTTTAATTTGAGTACTCTCTTAATAGATACCATTGAATTAAACAATAGAATGCTCGTACTCAAAATGACCTTGAAATTATCTAATTGAAATGGAACTTTTGTTTTACAGGCTTTTAAAACACTATTGTATCCAAAATAATTTCTTACAAATTCCATTTTGCAAAATATCGAACTAGTGGTTTTAAAGGTGCAAACTAATCTAAGTAAAGCAATTGTTGCTTATTAAACGTACACCTAACACAATTACCCAATAACATATTTGAAATTATATTTACAGGTGTCCTACCATTAGGGGTTTGTTAATTGGATAAAATACATCTTCAATTCAATCTTTTTATCAATATTTGTACTTGGTTCAATAAACGTAATATTATGAAATAGTAAAATTGTAATTTGAGATACGATCGATACTTTTATGACTTATTTGAATGTGTCTTATGGAAAGTGAATGTTCTGAATGTTATTTCTCAGTATCTATACAACAAAAATATACAGGACTTATATACTAGAATCATTAAAAAGATTGACTTTAAAAAATTGTACTAGCAAAAATATGCATGCATCGATGAATGGTATGTCACAGATAGAAAGTTTCGGTAAAATTACATCGAAACCGTGCAGATTCTCATTCTACAGAGCTAAAGAACACTACGTGCTTTTAAAATGGATACAACTTACCGCCAAGTAACTTCTTCGATTTACCACGGTTACTGATCGAGCAGTGTAACGTGATCTTGAGATTGTTTGGAAACATTTGAATTGAGAATCATGGTAATCATCGATAACTAATAACCTGTACATTATTACATAACGGAAACATTGAAAGACCTGAAAGACGTTCAAGCAAGCCAGTCGACTTCGATTCTGTTACCGAACGAACGGGCGGGAAAGAACGAGACACCAGAACATCAGGTTCAATGACCTATTGTTAACACAAACAGTTTGCAGCTTTTATTTCACAAATCGTTAATTTACAACTATGATATGCATTCGTTCGCCTAAGAACCGAAACGAAAAAACGTCATTTTACACGAACAAAACAAGGCGTATTTATCCATAATGATCGGAACGCGTATCAACGTGGTGAGAGTTACGGACAAAGTCTTGTTCTCAGGCATTGTCTCGTCGAGATCCTGGAGATCATTCGCGCGGTGGGGACATTTTCAAAAGTCACTCGCCGCGATGCTGGGCATATCCGTCTCGTCTGTCGATCTAGACTCGTAAAACCTTTGCGTATCTCGAAACCAGCAAGATGGACGAAAGATTCCACCACGAGCCGTCGTTGCTCATCGATAATCCCCAAAAAAACGAGACCCCCCGGCCACCAATATAGGTATATTCCACTCGAACCATCGTCCATCTCGCCGTTTACGAACTTCCCCTCATTTCCAGCTCGACACGCACATACGGGTCCGCAACTAACAGCAGACTATACTCATTCGCACGTTTCATCTACTCTCCGTGGTTTCTCCCTTTCGTACAGAAATCGTAGCACGAACGCTGAATCTCATCGAGCACCGAGGGAGGACACGTTCTCTGGGTGGTTTCACCGCGCACGAGCTTTCAGGACATATCATCCTTCCTCGTTCACGACTGGCTTCTAAAATAGCGCGTAAACTGAGGAACAATCGTCGATGACCCAGTAAACCTTCGATCGGTCACTAATAGACAAATATTCTTCAGTTATCCAACGTTTAATCGAAATGTCTTAAGAGTCAACCAATTTTGGGTCGATCATTTTCCTTAAAAAATGAGAAACATGCGAGAATACGTTTTTTTTTGAGGTTATGTCAATCGACATTGGGATAACTGCTGGACACCAGCTAGGTCCACGAGGTCACGGACTGTTTCCCAGCGTACACGCAGCCTAACAACGCGTCGATATTACGGTTCTCACCTTCGCAATGATTCCTTTCTATCCGGAGACGATAGAACCGTGGGAATCGCAAATACAACGAACGCCAGAAAGACACATAAGCTTTTCGGAGCACCATTTCGTTCGTCCTCTGACTGCTTCCTTCGAGATGGCGCTGTCGATCGAGGGAGCTTGCGAGTATCGACCTCCTTTGCTCGATCGACAAATGGATTTTCGCCGATCGACTCGCAATCTCACCTCGAGACGACCGTTCACGGAGGAGTAAATTGTGAAAACGAGACGCACCGGTGTTCATAGGCGGCACAGTACCTACCCTTTGCGTCGTGGTGGAGATCGCGCTTTGATAGTTCGTATACGTGTCCTATCGCGAAACATAGTATCTAAGATCAGCAAGGTCGGGCTAGAGAGTTCCGAGTATCACGCGATATTCCTGTACATTCATATGGTGATCCGCGAAGTAACGGAACGAAGCCTGGAATTCAAGTGACACTAAGCGGACCGTCATGTGATTAGGTTATGTTCTTTGAAGAAGCTGTTACTTTACTAACCCTTTAATTAAATTGATGTATTGAAGATAAAGGACGGTAAGGATGAAATTTTTTTACTAAATCTTTCAGTGAAACGTTCTGGAAGGGATAGATTTACCACTTGGATTGTAAAGTAATTGAGAAGATTAATAAAATTGCTATAGAATATTTTTGATAGCACCACGGAATTTTTAAATATGAAATGACAAGAATACAGTGTGTATTTAAGTTTGACTTAAATTTCTTCAACATTTTCGTATTTACAATAGTCTAACGAAATACAAGGGAACCAATGAGTTTTTAATTGTTTAATTCTTGGAAAAGTTTTAACTATTTATATTCAGGAATGATATAGTAACGCGAATAAATGCACTCGTGTGTCGTTTGTCATGGCGTAACCAGCGCTTAAAAGATCTAACAAGCCTTTATTGTTATTATACAGTTCTCTTTCTGTAACTTTGACACAACCAAAGTTTTATCAAATCGAAATGTAATTGAACTCTAATTCGTTCAGTAATTGAAAAAAATTCTAAAAAGGTGGGATAACGTTTTGTAATCCAAAAATCGAAACAGTAAAAATTCTACTAGGATTTCGGAAAACAATGAATTACATAATTAGGCGATTCAGAAAAATAATTGTGTATTGAATAGTGACTTTGAGAAACGTAATAATTTCTTGGAAAATTTATTTACATTATTGTATAGTGTAAAACTTAGTCACTTCAGTAATTCTGTTTAGAATTTAGTACTACACGATAATAATATTCTGCACGAAATCGAGATTTTTAGATAAGTGATTAAACACTTTGCGAAAGAAAATAATTTTAAATGATTTAAGCATTACAATAATTTATCGTATTAACCTTAAAGAAATTCAATTCAGATAGTAATATGTATTTTACAAAGTTACCGATAAAATGGTTGAAAAACGAAAAGTTGCATGGTTAACAAACAGGTAACATTAAAATGACTGTCCGGTTACACCACGTCAATCAAGACCTCGTTTTTCACGTCGCAGCGATTCAGATAAAAAAGGTCCACCGCAAACAATGGAAGAAAAATTAATCGCGAAGCTCGTATGGAACATTGACGTAAACCGTACGTGACATCGCCCGTGTTCTTTTCACGTCTCAGAAAAC